AGAAATCTTTATAATTATAGAAATTCAATTAAATTGCATTATCTTATATTTTTATAGGGGGTTGGAAGAAGAAGATTTTGATAGGAACTAAAAGGGAGAAAATCTTTGAATATTTGTGAACACCACAGGTAAGTGGATAACGTCCCAATCAATATATATTAGAAATTTTTCTTTATCAAAAGATTGCTTTTAAGGATATTATAAATTTCTCTTGCTTTAGCTACTTTTGTTAATTAAATTGCTCTGCTTCTTGAATTTCTCTTGCTTTAGCTACTTTTGTTAATTAAATTGCTCTGCTTCTTGAAGTCATGACTTATACTTTTATATTGATGAAAATACTCTGAAATTCTAGTAGTGCTTTATTTGATAAAGCCAATTATAAAAAAATTTGTGAACAGTTATGAGATCTTATTGTGAATTTTTATATTTAGAAATCTAGTACTTTTATATGTTTCATGCGAGTTAGATTTTGAAAAGAGAAATTATATTTGAAAGTGATGATTTTCTCACATGTCTGAAAGTGAATTTAAAAAGGGACTGTATACAAAACGCTGGTTGCTAACGGCAGTTCCATTAGCTCTTGGCGCGCCATGGTCAATTACTAGCTAATTGGGATTTTGTGAGCTTTGTTCTCACGTCTATTATTTGTGAGTCTTGTACTGCATCTGTTTCATGGCTTTGACTATGTCTGGTTAGTTACCCTCGTGGACTATGTGTCCATGTCTGTTTCATGGCTTCAGCTGCATCATGGACTATGTGTCCACATTTATTTTCGTGGCATAAGCCATGTTTGGTGATTTATCTTCATGAACTGTGTGTCCATATTTGTTACTTGTTCTGATAAGTCCCTATACTTATGAGTTTTTTAATTTTTTATGGATCTATTTCATTGGTTTTGATTAATGACATGTTTACAATTATTTATGCAATTACTTGCTATATTAAAGTAAATGATAACGACATTGGCACGATACTTTAATAAATTATGATTTTGTTCAAAGTTACATAGAATCCTTTATTCTGAATTTAATTAAATCTTCTTGTAGATAATTGTGTTTTTAAAAAAATTTATGTTTAATATTTATTATTGGGACGTTATTCACTAGAAACTAACTTTTGGTCTTAAATAGTATAGCTGATGTTGAATCACCCACTGAACATTGAGGAGTTTTGTGATTGATTAGAAGCGGAGGAACTAAGGATTAAACTTTCTCTTGATGTAAAGTTTTAATTATGAAATTTATTTTGTAAACTTATTGTTAGGTGCTCCACATAGTCTGTGGTTAGTTGTTTGTGTGGTTATATATTTTGTCTATCAACTGGAAGGAGCTCTACTCCTAATTGGCTTGATATTTTTGGTTGAATATTGTCTTATAGAATTTTGGGACATCTTATTTATAGAGGAGATCTACCGAAATTTCTACAAAAATATTGAGACTTTTATTACTACTAAAAATGTTTACGTATGTTCTAATTCAAAGTAAAACATAATTATCTTTTAGTTATGAAAAGAATTACCCAATTCGAGGCTTAAGGGATGTGTAATGGATCACATCTTTTGCCGGTCACCCTTTATTTTTAGGGTGTGACAATAATATTAGTCTTTTGAATATTTATGACCAAAAGGGTTGTTAGTGTAGTGGAATATGCTATAAATCTTAGGCAACAAGTCTCGTGTTCGAATCTGATGAAGGCAAGAGAATTTCATTTTCTTGCTTTTTGTTTGTAAAATTACTAAATTGCCCCTCATCAATTTGATAAAAAAATCTGCACTCTCCTCTTTGATTTTTCCTAAGATCTAAAGAGAAAGAAGAGAAGCTTTGACCCAATCATTCTTCAATCCTTTGCTGCGCCTTCACCTTCATCCCATCTATGGCCAACCGTGGCCGACATAGTGCTGTTGCTCTGTCTGCCACTGACCAATCAGCTTGTGGCTTCTGTTTTGTTTCCTTTCCTTGTTCCAGATTGGCACGCCATTTTCCCCTTCTTTCTGTGTTCGAGCATCGTGAGTCACTTAAGGTAGAAGCTTTGATCTTTTCTCTTGTTATCTGAAGAATTTATGTTATTATGGGAATGGATTAGTGGCTGTGGGAGGTTTATTTTGTTGGCTGTCATTTTCCCCTACTTCTCATTGCTAATCGTTCTTCTTCATTAGTTGTTGTTGGGCTCGTCTATTCGTCACTGTCACTGCTAGGACACCGTCACCATCACTACTAGAGTCACCATCGTCCACCACTGTAAGGGATTTCATTAATGTTAGGGACTCTCCTTCTGTTTGCATGTTATTGTCGATCTATGCCTCCCTATCTTTGCATCATTGTAGTGCTCATGGTTAGCCATGGAAGCTTAAATCTCTCCCTTCACCCCTCTTTGATCCTTAGGTAAGTGAACCTCACCTTCTCCTCTCTTTAGTCTGATCATGTGTATAGATGTGTTAGTGAATGAGGTTCAAATTTTTCTTCCTCTCCTTTCTTGGTTGTCGTAGGAGTATGGAAAAAGAAAATGATAAGTTTAGTTTATTCAATTCACAAGTTAGTTAATTGTTGTTGGTTGCCATTGATTAAGTTGGATAGGAATTTGATCTTTTCCTTGAATAAAAAGGAAGATTAATATTGGTTTGATGATTAAGGCCTGTGAGATATTTGATAAAATCTCTAAATGTGAGTTTGGACATATGATGGCAAGATATGTATGGTACATATATTGTTGTTGATTAAACAATTATTA